ACTTCGGAGATTTTGTGTGGTTTCGTTTGAAATAGAAATCACGTGATTTCTCGAAAACCGGAAGTGCTACGTTACTCACATCCGGTTTGTAGTCTTATCAGACTATTCTTAACTTATAACTTAAACATTCTCTATATCTATCTCTTACGGTTTGGCCGCTGAAACAGCACCACGGACGGACGGACGGACTTGTCTAGTAGATAAGAGATTTACTCTACAATCTTTTATAACTTTACTTTTTTCAATTCAAGCATGCACATACAATAATTTAATATTAAACGATGTACTCGTAATTACACAGAGACTACAACATTAATTACTGCATGCTATTTTTATAAGGAGCTAGTCCCTTTGAATTATTGTTAAACCTCTCACACTACTATACCTTGATCTTGATTCAACTAACTTTTTTCTACAAGATAGGTACCACAATCCCGTTTTGTTAAAATAAGAAACGAATCACAAAAATTACGATTTATTCGTCTCACAACTTTCTTATTCGGACTGCTTCAAAGTTTCTTCTAAGCTCTTTCACAAAATTCTTTCAATAAGATTTTACATCCTAAACGAAGCTTTTGCGATAAAATCCTTTTTATAATTATAAATGAAATCAACCTTCACTTTAGATGTCATTAAATGCGAAAATGCACATACATAGAAGTGTAAGCTCATTATCAATATAAAAATAACGTTTACAAAATCAATTTTCAACACCAAAGTATCATATTATTATTAGGTTGTTTTTTAGCAAGGAAGCCATTCAAAAACTCTCCTTGACCTATCCAATAAAACCTTTTGACTATTCAGTGTGTCCCATTGTTGTTTTTATTATTATCTGCTTGACGTAACCCGAATGAAGCTTGAGAGCGTGACCTCACAGATACCAAGGTTAAGGGACGACTGACTGACTGACAGCGTCACAAGTGAATTATCTAATCCATTTCATCTACATACCCATTATTATTAAACTACTTCATTTCGTCGCAGTCTCTGAGGACTGGCACGTGTAGACTTTTTATTTTCCTAACGTTTCACGTAATTCGTTGTCCTTACATTAGTATACATACTATACTATACTACCACTCTGCAAATTGTTGCCCAGCATTAAGATCATCACAAAATTATTAAAACCTACCTTTAATATATAAATATTTCTAGTAAATGCTGTAAATTCAGTTGAGCGCGAAAGTTCATTTCTTGCCTACTTAGGTACTCTAAAATTAATCTATATTTGCGGAAGCAAGGCCAAATTTATAACGGATTGCATGAAATTACACGCCACTTTTTACCATTATTTAGATTCATTCTTCTGTAAGGCAAAGAATGATGGAAATACATACTTCTCCGGGCGAGTTTTTCAATTCGAGGAGGAAATTACTTTGCGCTGCCACTCTCAATTTTAGAATTGTACTTAGATGGAAATACTCGTAGCTACGAAAAAAAACAGTGTAAAATGATAAAACCATGATGCAAGTGAAAAGGTACCCATATTTAAATAGTTCTTGCTACTCTGGCATATAAAACGGGAAAAATATAAGATAGACTTTTCTTGTTTGGGAGTGTGGGGGAATGATATAAAAATGCTAGAATCTGATAATAATATTACGGAATTATAAAGAAAATAACCGTATGATAGTAATGATTGTAATGCAATGATCGATACGTGTTGCGTATACATCATAATAAAAGTAGAACGCTAAATTACAAATTAAATTACCCAAAGATAAAATTATCGACTCACGGTTAGATACGGATATGGAAGATTGGGGCTTACGGGGGGATGAACATTTCTCACACAACAGGCGAACTTTAGAAACTCTGCACGTGTCCCCTAAGTAGCGCTAAATTAGCAGCAACAACCACTCTAAGTTAATCAGTCCATAAAGATACAAATAATATCGCGACTGAGATAGTTCGGGATAACAGTAAATGCCGCCGCATAACCGTATAACCAATCCCCAAGCTTCACTTATCAAGGCAAACAGACAAAAGATGTTGGATCTCATGTCAGTATCTGCCAATTAAATATTGAAGGCATGAACCGCACAAAATATCCTAAGCATCGTCGCCGTATAGGGCGATCCGAAGGAACTCTACGAAGCCGCAGGTGTAATGTGACTATTATACTGCTGCGCGACTATGATTGGAGTTATAGCCAAAGTAACCTACAGTTAAATTAAAAGTCATACGATCAAATAAATCTAGACTCACAACGAAATTAAAATTGTAACCAATGTTTATGTGCTTCTCGCATGAAGAAACAAAATCATTAACAAAATCAACTCTGATATTTTGAAAAAGATACAAGGACAAATAAAAGGGCTTATGCGAATTACAGGGCCTCCCACGGGTTCGTCATACGGAGGGAAAGTATATTAAATATTGAAGATAGAATATTTTACTGAAAGAAGTCATTATTTTATTTTTAATAATAAGTAGAACTGCTATCATACTTTTAAAAAAATCGTCTGCCAAAACCGGGAATCAAACTCGTGAAATGTGAAACAAAAAATACATGTATTTTATGATAACCATCGAAAGGGTAAATCATGAGGATTATTTTTTCCTAAATAACATAGCATTTTAAATGAGAGAAAACTCAAGAAATTTGACTTTTTTTTATAATTGAAGACAATAAGAAAGAAACGGTGCTAGGCTTGTATAAGTAATGCTTAATTTTTTTTGCAGTGAAAACTTCTATAGCGGCGTTGTACTCTTTTTTTTTGTATGGGTAAAAAATGACAAGTTCGCGTCAGGTTAAACACGTGGGATGATCGCATCATGACACACAATAAAATTGGAAAGGTTGTTGACTTTCAATATGTTGGACGAAACATAGTAATATTTTATTTTACCGTATTATGATAAGAAGTCTCTATCTAGGACGTCCACGTGGCAGCTTTATTTCTAAGAAAATCCATTTTGTTTACAATAGATGTCGCTAGGTGCGCTTTAATGTGTTTCATGTAAGGTGATTTCTTTACAATAGATGTCGCTTATAACGCTTAAACGTGATTCATGTAAGTTGATTTTTCTGAGAGATAAACTTTTTTAATGTAATATAAATTGTCATGTTTGTGTACGATAGCGCAATAAATAAATATTGTATTCTACCACATACATGATAGTACTTTTATACTGATAATTAAAGCAATTCGTGCAAAATTATTCCCTAACCATTCCAAAATATCAAAAATGCACAACGTTAATATTCAAGTTTTCACTTCTGGCGGCACTGCCGGAGTGCAACCCGTCGTTTTTTTTTTTTCACGTGCTTATAGTAAAGAAATCCTGTATTATTAAGTGAGCAGTAACTTGTTAGTAAATACTTTGAAATGTTAACAGTAGCTGTTGGAAACACGGAATAGTAAGAGAAAATTTTTCTGAACAAAATTGAAATTTCATGATCTTCCTTTCATTAAGGAAAAAATAATCCTTATGATTAACCCTTTCGATGATCATCATAAAAAACGTCATATGTTTTTTTTTTCGAATTTCACGAGTTTGATTTCCAGCTGTAGAAGTAAATTTTTAAAAACTTAAAAATAAATCTGTGAATGCAGTTCTTGTTATTATTAAAAATAATAGGATGTCTTACTTTACTGAAAGAGTAAAATATCATATCTTCAATATTTAACATACTTACCCTCCGTGTGAGAAACCCGTGGGACGCCCTGTATATATGCACCCCGTAATGAGAAGGACATATAACTCAGTACATAACAACTGCTTTAAATAATGCTCTGTCCATGGTTGTATCCGTCCAGGATAACAAAATTAATAAGAGATATGAGATCTTTAATTCGTGGCGAGGCAGAACATTACAGAAACTATAAATGTATGGTTATTTTTTTCTTTTGAGTTGTGAGTATTTGACATCCAATCCAATTGAGCGAAAATCAGAATTGTTTCTCGAACTCAACATTAAAGCGAGCAAAGCCGCGTGCTAAAGCTAGTTTTTAATATAATATAATAAATATAAAATTTAACATTTGTTCTACACGCACTTGCTTAATTACCTATGTAGTGACATAAATTTTCTCATCTTTTAACATCTTTTAGCTAAGTCACCTTTGACGCGTACGTTGCACACCTTGAATCTAGTTGCCGTAAGAATTGATTTGTTTCACTGTCCATTATTTTTATTCAAAAGATTGGTGGTAATGGAAATTTGTAATAGGGATGACAATATATAATAATAATATTATATTTTTTTTGTTTTACATACGTATGTATACTATGTAATGTTAATTTATATGTAACAAAATGGAATTAGTATTATTGTCTTTTTAATACAATTGTGTTTATTTTAATAATTTTAATTTTGATACTACACTATTGCATTAGGATTATTCCTGTGAAAATAGCTGTATGTGTTTTCCAATAAAAAAATAAATAAATTTAACACAATATGCAACCCAAATTTGACTAATAGTAGTAATTTCTAAAACTAAAATTAGCATAAATATTATCCACGCAACCCTTATCTTGTACCGCAGAGTATGAAAATGTCATACCGCTGTCATTTCGTTTTAAGTACAGAATCATGTCAGAATTTTTGGTTCATTATCTATATATAACAATGTTATTTAGTGTTATGTTATTATTTTGAGTGTAACTACTACGGCCGCAGGCAAAAAAGACAATTAATTTATGAATTCGACTACAGTTGAAGCTTTCACTTTAATGTCGATAAAGATAGATTGAGATATTATCACGCTTTATAATGAAGTATTTGATTTGTACATGACTAGATCGAGCAATCCAAATAGACCACGCAAAGAAAACGGCTCATGTTAAGCGCAACGTGTGCATGCCTCTAATGTCAGATTGTTTGAAAGCAGTCAATATTACGAGCGTGTCTAACATATGTAGTAGAGTCTAGGCAGTATAATAGTGTATAAAATAATCAAAGAATGAATTATTAAAAAATATTTGATGTTTCGGAGTACGGGTGTTAGTTATAAAAAATTAACGTTGATTCTTATTTGTCCAAACAGGCGGTGATTTTTGGCGTAGCACAGGGGCCGTTCGTCGAAGAGTTCCATCAGTGTGTAACACATGGGTTTTACACCGAGAGGTGGCAAGAGCAAGCCTACACCACGCTATCTCTCATCTTCATGTTCATTCTACCCCTTATTATATTAGTATCTACGTACGTGTCTACAGTAAGGACGATAGCAAGTGAGTAAACATAACACATTTGGCTATTTCTACAAATTGAGGGATTTCGGTTGGCTCAGTTCGTAGAATAAAATAATTATGTATGTAATTTGTATTAAGTGATACAACTTTACCCGAAAATCACTTTTCTGTGGGGTGAAATTTCAAAATATAGGTCTATTATTATTTCCTTGGTTGGCATTATAGTACTCATTTAGAGTTTTTTTTACATATTAATTGCTTAATTTATTTATGAAATATCACATTTACTTTAATGGTTACTGTTAAGTTTATATAAAGATGAAAAAATCTTATAAACTAACTTATATGTGTTAAACTTTCCGCACAGACTCTACTCTCATTTCCATATCTTCGACGAATTGCAAAACAACTATAACTTCTAAATTAATGAATATGTTTACTAAACCTTTAGATTGTATTAAATCTAAACACTAAAAACAGCGCTTGTGGTACAACTTTGAAACTAAATTGGTCAGCTCTGTGAACTAACACAGAAATTAATAGAAGTAGAGTAGTAGATTAGGCTTTCAGTTTGTTTCAGTAACTTAATTTACAGCTAAAATTAGATTTGACGGCTTGTTAGTCAATTTTATCGCTGATCAGCCTATCAGAAACCTGGTGTAAAAATTAAAACAGGCATGGACCAGCTACTTACTAAGATAGCAAGCTTGCTTGGATAGACATCTGTTTAATCAAAGTAAGTAGTTTCGTAAAATCTGAGCCTAGATAGGTTGGGCCACTTGACCTGACCAAAGTTTCGGAACAACAAATGAGGTTTATCTTATGACGAATTCTAGCTTTATTGAGATTTAGCTTAATAAATCCATAACATATTAGAAAAAACTACGAAACGGTAATGCTAATTGCTTTTTAGATAAGGAATTATTTTTAGATATACATAAACGATAAATAAAATTGAATAAAAATTTCTTTGTTATTTTAATGTTCTCGCTTCATAAACATTACTACATCAACAGCTTTAATATAGTTTCCAATCCGACGTAATCGAAATCATATTAAACATCTAGTTTAGTATAATTTTATAAAACACTTTTGCATTGGGTTCAAACACCGTATATTGTAATTTCTCTCGACTCCACTTAATTTCACCCTCTTCTGGGTCTGTGATCGCAACATTTGTAACTCCATATGACTTTGAAAATAACTGAGACGTAAACAAACGCGATATTAAATTTAAATACACCTGCTTAGTCGTAACTCATCTAGTCTTTCCGTGAGTTCTACGCATGTCATTTGAAAATACACTAATAGGTATTTGGTGTAATATTAACCTATTTGGAGGGATGGTTGAAAAGAAAATTGGGCGAGTTATGTAATTATGGATTTAATTATTGAAATAGACGTTATCAAAATTTCATTTTCAAATGCTAAAGGTCAGTTAGAGTTTATAAAGAAAATGTTAAAGCACGCTATCCTTTCAAAGATAAAGTTTTGGTAAATATAATATTTTTAGCTTATTGCTGTGTCGCAAAGCATGATAAGCTAGTTTTATGATGAAACGATAATTAAATATACTTGAGCATGAAAACCTCTTCTAGATTACCATACCTCACCAGATTTAGCACTGGTGCATATCCGTATGATATACAATTGTTGTCGAGTCTAGAGTATTTACGTTATTATAATGTTGTTGCCTGCGCAGAAAAGTTAACAAATGGTGCATTCAAACTTTTATCTTGCTCTCATAAATATTTTTTTGTTGTTTGTTTTTTTTAAGAATTGCAACATATGGGTCACTTATTTTGGCAATAGGCTAGTGGACTTGTGTTAAATTGTACTGAATAAATGTTTATTTCTTATAATTTTTGGTACTTTATAAGGAACCTAAATACATCGATTCAACTTCATAAAATTAGAAGATGGCTGTAATAATTTAATATGAAAAATAGTTTTTTAGTTTTTACTTTTTATACACTAAAACACTGTTCACCATGATTGTGACGTCATAAAATTAGTAAACAACTAAACGTAATTTTTGTGTTACTGTGGTTTCTTTCGTCTGACTAAAATATCAAAAAACTCTTACATCTTGTAGAAAAGTTTCCAATTATTGGTTTTTCGACTAAATTAATTCTGGATGACGGATTTGTGAAAGCTGAAACCACAAAGCTCTTTAACTTAGTACGTACATTCGTAACCTTAAAACTTGTATTGTATTTTTAAACTTTCAATATTATTCAATGAGTACTTACATCCAGGTGATCTTTGCAAAAAGAAATGACTTTCATTCAAAAGTTAACAGATTTAGAAAGTTTTAAACATGTGTTTGTATATAGGTATGTTTATTTCTCTGGTAAATTTAAAGTACAACTTTTACTGGAGTCATTGGAGTCTTTAACGATGTGATTCTACATTATCGTACAATACAATTATGATAATTACTATATTTTTCGTGTAATCAACTAGAAATCATGGTTGTATAATATTAACTGAGATAGGTTATTTCCTACGTGATTTATTTAATGTTTTGACGTCATAGCAAAGATAAATCTAAGGACTAAAATGGCCGACAGCTTTTTTGTCTGTCCATGAAAAATATATTTTTAAGATTTATAGTTTTCTAGGTCAAAAAATATACAATCCTTTTTTTTTGGTCCAATAAAATAATTAATAACCATTTAAAACCTGTTTCCAAAAAGTGTCAACTAGCCTATCGTGTTTTTGATGTTCGGAAAATGTAAAAACAAAAATATTTAACTGAATATCCAGGACTAATTAAAAATAATAATTATTTAGTTTGAAATAAAATAATACAGACTCGTGTGCGTGACAAGTGGTTACAGAAACTTTGCATATTGATATTCGCATAAAGAAGGAGTCCACTCGTTGTTACCAATCTAAAGTTCAGAAAATAAATACATTTTATCTTTTTGTAGAAAGCGAGAAAGTTTTCCAGCCAGAAGTGAGAAGACAGCCAAATTATTTGACACCAGACATGAACAGAAGAAAGCTCATCGACAGAGCGAAAATGAAATCTCTGAGGATGTCAGTTGTAATAGTCGCAGCCTTCATAGTGTGGTGGACACCGTACTACGTGATGATGATCATATTTACGTTCTTGAATCCCGATGAAAACGTAAGTACCGAGAAAATGAAAATATTTTCTTCATCTATCAGATACATTATCAAATAGTATTGGACACATATTTTTCTTTTTTCACATAATGAAAACATTACCAAGATTTTTTGATTCGAAATGTCGCATGACGTCATGTCTTGGTACCATTTCTACTTGGAAGTGACATCCCACTCCCAAACTTTAAGGTGTTTTATCCTAGTCAGTTTTTCGATGATACACAAAAAATATGTCAATTATTTTCTGATAATCTAACTAATGTAGTAAATACAATTTCGTTTATTCTTTATCGTTATCACCCTTATTGTATAAATTTATCACACGTGCGAACACAGTACAAGGTAGATTTATGAACCGATTGCGTAGCTTTCTCATGAATGTCTCTTGAGTGCTCGTAACAGCCTTAACTGAATAAAGGATTTTGATTATGATTACAAATTGACCGGTAACAATGAACTACCGTTTATTGTCACATTTGACCGATCAAAGCATTACGATATAATAAAATATTATTTTATCGTTTCTTTAGTATTATTGACGTTAACGAGCTACATTGTGCAAAAGAAATTGTGCTGTTCACAAGACCTACTGAAACAGTATTTTTTTTAATGCTTAGTGGTCTTTTTTCTTTACTGGGATTGAGAGTATCGAAGTATTAGTTTATATTTTTGACATTATTTCTTCCGATAGGAGAATAATAATAATAATAGATTCAAAGCAAGCGCTTAGATTGCTAACAATATCTAAAGAATGAGAAAACAATAACTTGTCGGGTATACTAAGCATAAAAGCTGCATTAGATTTTTTTTTGTTAGATTTTTCTTGAATACTCACTTACTGTTTTCCCAAATTTGCTTTGGTTGTTATACTGTGAACTAATATAGACATTTTTTGTAGATATGTCTATATTAATATATAAAGAGCTAATTTATTCATACAACGTAATCTCGTGTGGGGCTCACAGAATATAAGTAATTACAGAGATAAATTAACATCATTCCCATAACCTCATCTCAAGAACGCCATTAAAATCGTTTATAAGAATTTAAGATTTTTTATATATTGTTTTGGGGACTGCTTTTGGCTGTGATTATGTTTTGTTTTTGAAAGGAAAAAAATATTGTTTACTCTCTTCATTTTGAAATAGACTGTTATTGAAAGGTTTTGGTCCCAATTCTCGGTATGAAAGGAATAAAACTTTTTTATTGAATAAATTAGCTGCGCAAACAAAATTCCGATTAAATATAGGTACTTAAGTGACAAACAACTCTATACTGTTTCCTGATTCGTTAAAAAGTTTGATATTTATACCTTTTTCGAGGAATGAATATGAACAACAAGGAAAGAGATGAGACATTGAAATATAGAAGATAGAAGTGCACCACGAATAATTAAATCCCTAACATCTATTCCTTCATTAACCCGGCATCAGCACAGTCAAAATATGCAACAGCGATAGTAGCGTTGGGTCGAGAGGACCCGTATAAGAAAACGCCATAATTACAAAAGTTAAAATAAATTTGGTTTGTGGTTGTACTATCTATATAAAACGATTATCGTTATAGGTTTCGAGTAGAAAAAAAAGCAACATGATACGAAACTATCTTTTTAATGTTATTTTCATAAAAGTGTCACAAAACATTAACAAAATGGACAACCTCTGTCTTAAAGTACTAATATTTTAACAAAACAAACTTTTTTCTATAACATAAACTAATTTGTTACATATTAATCAAATCTTTAGTAGACTAATAATATTATACTATTTGTATCGGTCTCATACGTCAGTCATAGTATCCTTATCATCTGCGCAATCTCGGCAGTAAAACATTGCATGCTCACTGCAGATGTATTTGCTACAGCTGCGAAAAATATTATTAGTTTTTCTATCTTTTTTGGCAGAACAGTCTTAGCATCTCTTTTTTACATAAAGTATCTTCACAGGTAGCTCCTCATCAGGTACCTACTCCTAAAAACTCTCTTATTCTTTTGCGCATAAGTCTTGGCAACTGAATGACATCTGTACGATTGCGCAAATGCTCACGAACCAGTTTAAGGCTTAAGTTTCTTTAGAAATTGGCGTTGCTTTGACGTAGTGTTGTTATTCTTGTTATGTAATATGTACGCATTTATTCCAGACATATTTAGCATGCCAAAAATAACAAAATAAACAATATAAAACAACAGAAAAACATTTTTTTAAATGGCGCAAAATTACGACACGAATAGTATGGTTGGGTCATATTTACCTTTTTCGTGTTTGGCCGTGTCTATCACTCGCTGGGGCCGCAACACGACTGAATGGCGATATCCCTCGTGGAGGGGGAATCATTAGCCCCAGCTTCTGAGAAGTTTGGCAAAGTCGCACAAACATTTTAAGAAACACGCTCATTTGAAAACTGCTCGGGTCAAATAGACCCAACTGTGCGAACGTCGGGTTAAATTTGTTATTAACCTGGCAACATGTCTGCTATAACAACTGACTAATCGATTCTTATCTTTTTATTTTATTATTTTTTATTTGACTATTCAATGCAATATTTTAATGCAATAATTCGAGTGATTATTAATATTATTATATATCAATACAGTCTATTTATTTTTGTCTCTCTTCATGGCCAACTCTCGGCTCCTGGTTTCTCCCGGCATGACCTTATGTTCCTCTCATATAAAATAAAGTCCCCCAAGCCTGTCCCTGAGTTAGTAAAAATGCGGAACTTTGCTCGCCTGGACCCTGAGTTGTTATCTCGGGATGCATCGACCATTGATTGGTCCAGTGTCTTATCTGCAGCAAAAACTGGAGAAAAGGTAAATGCTTTTAATGGAGTCTTATTATCATTTTTCAATAAACATGCACCAATTTGCACAGTTAGAGTTAAAAGACCTCCTGCACCTTCAATGTCTCCTCTGGTCCGCATTGCGATGAAGAGACGTGACAGAGTTTTTAGTAAATTTAAAAAGTGTAGGGCTGAAAAAAACTGGGCCTGTTTCAAGACCAACAGGAACCGCTGTAATCAGACGGTAAGAGCTGCTAAACGCCGCTATTTCCATGATAATATTCTTCACTCATCTCCTGCAAATATTTGAAAATTTCTTCGGTCTCTGGGGTTCATTAAGTCAAGAAATGTTATTCTTCCTCATTATTTTTCTCTCAATGAAATCAACCGAAATTTCTCAGAAACTTCTTCTCATTCTTTAGGAAATATATCCAATGCTCTCGCAGACATTTCTTCTCTAATTGATCAACCTACAAATATTTTCCAATATTCTCAAGTGACGGAGTCAGAGGTTCGTAAAACATTATGTCCCTCAAATCTATGGCCATTGGGTACGACGGTATAAGTAGGCACATGGTCCTTAATATGTTAGATAGTATTCTCCCTATCATCACACACATAATTAATAAATCAATTTCCTCAGGTGAATTTCCAGACTCATGGCGCAAGGCTCATATTTTGCCACTTCCCAAAGTAAGTAATCCCACAACTCCTAGTCATTTAAGACCAATTTCTATTTTGCCATTTTTGTCGAAAGTCTTGGAGGCTACTGCCCATAATCAACTATCTGCTTTCATAGCTAAAAATCACGTGCTAAACCAATACCAGTCTGGCTTTCGACCGGGTCATAGCACCACAACTGCCTTACTAAAAGTCACTGAGGACGTTCGTGATGGCATGGAGATGTCACGGTTAACGGTTCTGGTTCTGATTTTTCTAATGCCTTTAATGCCGTTGATCATAACATTCTCCTTGCTATACTATCCCACTTGCGAATCTCGTCTCCGGAACTAGATTGGTTTTCATCTTACTTCTTGCGATGTATCAGCTGGCGTCCCACAAGGCGGTATTCTCTCTCCTCTGCTATTTTCAGTCGTTATCAATCTCATTGACCTCCATTATTCGCCGTTCTTACCATCTCTACGCGGCCGACTTACAAGTTTACGCTCGAATTGGGGTGAATGACCTGGAAGTTGCCATTAGGTCTATAAATGATGATCTTCAGCGAATTTCGGACTGGTCTCACAATTTCGGTATTAAAGTCAATCCGAATAAATGCCAGGCCATTATCCTGGGCAGCTCTCGTCTTCTGGCGAAGGAAGACATGAGCTCTGTTGAGTCTTTCTATTTTGAATGAACCCTAATAAAGTTTTCTCCTGAAGTTGTAGACCTTGGCATACAGATTGACCATGCCCTCAATTGGATAGCACAAGTATAAGCGGTAAGGTGATCGGTATACTTCGGTCATTGTATCAATTCAAAAATTTTCTTTCCTTCCCAATATCTTCTAAAATTCTCTTGGTTCAATCCGTAATTTTGCCCATTGCAGATTATGCTGATGTGTGTTACGCTGACATATCTCAAGAACTTCTTAACAAATTGGATCGATTGCTCAACAACTGCATTCGTTTTATTTTTTGTCTCTGTAAATACGATCACGTTTCTGCTTTTCGGAAGAAGTTAAATTGGTTAACAATTCGCCAACGTCGAAACCTCAGATTTCTTTCCACCCAATATTCAATCATTAATGATCCATGTGCTCCTGAATATTGGAAATGTAAATTTCGATATCTTGGCAATATCCTATGAATCTTCGGTCTAGCAGCAAACAAACTCTAGCTTTTCCCTCTCACCATACTGGTTTTGTTTCCAACTCATTTTCTCTTCAAGCTATACGACTCTGGAACGCACTGCCTCCTCATATTCAAGATGCTCTGAACAAACTGGCTTTTAAACGCTCCGTACGTCTTTATTTATTAGATTCCTCCTCCGCATCCTCCTGATATGATGTATATATCTAAATATTTATTGTTATTTATATATATATTATTATTTATGTATGTTTATAGATATGTATTTTATGTAGTATATATATATTATCTTGTTTCCATAAATATAAAAATATAATAAGTAATTTGATGAATTCTTTTGCACTACCTTAAGATTTTTGCTAAAATTCTCCAGTTGACTGGTGGAGAATGCCTAATGGCATTAAGTCCGCCACTTGTACACACATTTGTGCAATAAAGTATAAATAAATATTTATTATTCTGGTGATTGTTGAAATGACATTATTATTACAGACTCATTATTCCATTGCCATATTGCATTTATTAAAACAATTATTAATTTCTGGTTTCCTAAACTACACTTTTACACTTTTGAATATTGCCGCCATGTAAACCATGCGATAAAATGTTATAAGATACCTACACGTAATATGCACAACCGACTACGCGCACCGGCTCCGGCTTCTGAATTTCGCTGTTTTTACCGGCTCGTTTCGATATGGATATTTTTTACGGAAGGCATGCACACACACACACACACACACACACACACACACACACACACACACACACACACGTACACACTCATTTAATCCGTTTCGTAGTTTTTGCCTGATTGAGTAATAAACATACAAATACACATACATACAAACTTTCACATTTATACTATTAGTATGTAGGATTAGAAAATATAGGGCAACGTAACATATCTATATGACACTTTAAAAAGAAAAGTCCTCAGTATCGTTCCGACGCGACGGTGACTACGAGTTGACGATTTACGTATGTACTGCTAGTGATCGTTTTGTGTGCACGTAATACCGTAACACCAAATTACAGTAAGAAGAAGGTACTTATTTCCTACAAATATGTATTCACACGTGCCCATGCTTAACGACACTTCGTTTGAACATTAGACCACGAGTTGTTAGAACTTCATTAGCTTGACACAGCCTCAGGAGTTCTTAACGATCGTTGCGGTCTCGTTATGTTTACATTAAAAACTTTTCGCTAAACTGGCAAGGCAATAAATATCACTATAATTACTCACTCGCTACACTATATGGATTTATTTATTCATAATAACTCGGGGTGACATAAATATTTTTCTTAAGAAACTCTGCGTTGAATTAAACTCATACGTGCGGCCTTACTTCCCAAAAGTAATGAACAACCTTGTCGTTAGTTACGGCGTGATGCAGTTCCTGCACTAAACTCCATAAATCATTTATTCATAAACGCGCATGTTCTTTTCCCAAAGGTGTCGAGTAATTTTCAGCATTACTTGGGTTTTGGGTTTACCAAATTCCACAGATTTTAGTGTTTCCACAGATTAGTGAACTTGACATGGGTCGTTCGTTTAAGCATTATACTGAGTAAAGGACAAACACATTAGATATATGAACGAGGTGACTTCGTCGTGAACAATTTTTCTTTGCCAAATAAGGAGGGACTGCAATATCTTACAGCTCTTCTCGGTCTCAACAGAAAGGCTGGTTCGGGGAAGTTGCCCTCACATTTAGTTACTTAATTATGGAACTACAACAAATTGGTATTAATATGATGTCGTTTTCACTGTTTGCAGGAAAATCCGTCGTAACCTTCCTCGCCATAGAACTAACAATATTACCAACGTATGATATACTATAATAGGTTCCTATGACTGTGTACACTTACGAAAACTATTATCAGCCATAAGTTTACTTTTTAAAGTTATTTATTGAGGCAGGTATTGAAAATATGCTATTTCAAATGATGAAAATGTTATTCATTTCATCGAGTTACCTGGCCGCGAGCATATTACAGGGGCCTCCAGCTAAATTCCCAGCTGAGCAAATATAGAAAACTAATATTCCTATATTGTCTAGATTGTTTCCTATATTGTTCAGTTTGTGAGTGGATACAGTACCGGCGCTCTTTCTGATTTCGTAATCATTAGGTTCCTTTCTAGGCGTTGGAGAAAAACATAAGGTTAGGTAATGGCTCTTTAAGTGTTTACGGATTAACAAACATGATGACTTGTATTAATAAGTTGTTGTCTTTTAATTGAATTATAGTGATGTCAAAAATCATTATTTCAAGCTGAATATTATTAGTAAGACAGTAATGAAACTTTCAAGAACATTAATAAATTTTCTTGGAAGTTCATAACTGTCTTCAAGAATGAAGTCGAATTAAATCCAAATTTATGCTTGTTTTCATAAAATTATCGATATCAAAAATTTGTGTCTTTAGTTGATTGTTAATTTGAAACTCTTCAAGGGTATGAATAAATAATTTACAAATTTTACTTTTTATTTCAGTTGAGCGAAGAACTACTCTCCGGAATCTTTTTCTTCGGAATGTCAAATAGTCTAGTCAATCCAGTCATTTACGGCGCATTCCATTTATGGCCGAAAAAGAAAGTTTCGAGGCACAGTGATAGGTAAGATTTTTTATATATTTACAATTTATGATTGCCCGCGACTTTGTCTGCGTGGAAAATCTGTTTTCCATACAAACTTTCACCCGCCTTTTATTTAATATATGTACATACTGCTATAATTCATCAGAAAATTATGTTGTAGATAGCAACATACTTCGGTTACAAATAACAGTATATTGATGCTATAATAATCATTTTGTAACCAATTACTGAACAAGTGTTAAAATTTTACATAACTGTTTTGTGATAACAACAAAACTATTTTAACAAAACCGACTTTTTCTACTAGTAACTATAGTTATGTAGTTACTATTTTTATGTAAAAAGTAACAATTTTTATTGGTATAAGGAACTCAAAACTTTTTTTAGTCTAGATTAGTCCAGCGGTTTAAGCGTATAGAGATATCAAGCAGACAAATAGATAGAACACACTTTCGCATGTAAAATATTAGTATGGAGTCGATGGATTATGCATTGCAAATTTAAAGTAAACGCTTATACATGAAATATTATTTTATACCATGACCTTGATAGTCAAGAATATTTCTGGTGCTATCTATATATAGGTGATATATACATATACACGTATAGGTTGAAATTCCGATGGACTCTGTGTAACCAATTCTTTATTATAATAATAATGTTAAGAGAAATTAGACAATTGTGTGCAGTACTTATTTCTTATAAGGATCTAGGCAATTAAATAGAACCTTGAAATATATTTTGGCATACTTTCATTAAAAAGACCTGCAAATTTATTATTGTTGACTGAAAAACATATTGTGTAAGATATTTGTACCGGATAGCGACCACCGGTACTTGGTTTTCGTATCGTCTATGCTTAGCTACGGAGTTTTGAGACTGAGATTTTGGAAATTTAAATAAAAAGTGTGATATCTTTGAAAGTCTAATAGCGTATATTTTTAAATTCAAAAAATTGCTGTTACATAATTCGAGGAAGAGAGGAGAGAATTGCGACCAATGGCAGTGTCGATTTTTATATCGCGTCATGCAGCACCATACGGATTGGAGACCAAGCCGAACCTGAACTTAGTGCGTTCCGTCTCGCACAGAAATGCCAAACATGCCCCCGGCTTTGGAAGCAGCAACTTTCAATGTTTTCCAAGGCTTGCAGAATCATCGTCGTATAAAAGAGGGCAGATTTTGGTGTAGGCACGTCGAACAACACCTGAAGCCGTTTGTATGTCCGCCACACTTGAAATGCCGTCCTTCCCTGCGATGGTCCTTAACACTCGTCCCAAGCTCCATTTAAGCGGTGGAAGGTTAGTGTCCTTGAGCAGGACGAGAGTGTTGATCTTCAGGTCCGCCTTATTATCAGTCCATTTACTCCGCACCTGCAACTCGGATACATATTCTTTGGACCAGCGTGTCCAAAAATGTTGGCGCATATATTCTACCATTTGATGCCGTTTCAAATGATGAGTAGGAATATCTCTGAGTTCATCAGTGACTGGTGACGTTAGTGGTCGACCAACCAAGAAGTGTACGGGAGTAAGTGGAGAAAGGTCTTTGGGATCCGGGGATAGTGGAGAGAGCGGTCTTGAATTTAAAACTGCTTCTATTTGTGACAACACAGTACTAAACTCCTCAAAGGTGAGATGGGAATTACCTACAACCCGACGCAAATGGTATTTGCAAGATTTAACTCCTGCCTCCCACAGACCACCAAAATGAGGCGAATCAGGTGGAATAAACGAAAATTTAATACTTTGATTCGAGGCATATTCTTTTATATTTGAATCGCATCGTCGCAAAAAATCTGAAAAGTCATTCATTAGACCTACAAAGTTGCGACCATTATCGGAAAATATTTCTATTGGTTTACCGCGTCGCGAAATAAACCTATTGAGTGCTAGTAAATATGCGTCCGTAGTGAGATCAGTGACCAATTCTAAGTGAACAGCACGCGTTACGAAACACACAAATAAACAAACATATGCTTTAGCAGTTTTAGCCCCCCTACCTTTACGATTAAGTATGTGCACTGGCCCACAGTAATCCACTCCGCATCGAATGAATGGAAAGCTAGGCGTTATCCTTTCCTCTGGTAAGTTACCCATAGCGGGTGTTAATGTTGTACCCTTAAGGCGCTTGCAAGTAATACAACTCCAAACTATTTGCCTAGCTAGACCTCTGCCACCTAAAGGCCACCAGGTCTCGCGTAAGTTATAAAGTAATGCCTGGGGTCCAGCATGGAGAAGTCTCTGGTGCTCATCACGAAATAATAATGTTGAAAAATAATGTTTACTCCTTATTAAAATAGGGTGCTTTTTATTATAAAAAAATCACTTGAGTTAGTTAAACGGCCACCTACACGCATTATATTATTTATATCCATAAATACATTAAGTTTACTTAAGCTACCTTTGCACTTTATTTGTGAACATTTGAGTAACAAAGAATATTCGTTTGGAAAGCTTTCCATCTGAGACCACCTTATTAAAACATTCCCAGATGCATTCAACTCATCGACACCAATGACGCCGGTCAGCTTATTATTCTTGTTGCGAACATTTTGTAAAAAACGTAACACAAACGCCACAGCACGCCTCATGCGCCTATATTGCGAAAAACGATTAAATTCGAACAGCAACAGAAGAAGAAAGATCACCCAAACTAGAACCACGTGAGGCCAGGTCCGCAGGGTTTTCCTTGCCGCTGACATGACGCCAAACAACATCTTTAGTTAAATCATGAATTCCGGAAATTCTATTTTGAACAAAACAGCCACCCTAACACTGTGGTTGAATCTGTCCAGAAAAGTATACTATTAAATGAACAATGCAATGAACTACGTATTTTATCTAAAAGTTTCGCTCCGAGCAAAGCACCACATAGTTCGAGCCGTGGTATACTAGTCGGTTTTAAAGGCGCAACCTTTGCTTTAGAGAAAAGTAATCTAACGGTTATAGTGTTATCTTGATTAACAGTTCGAACATAAACACAAGCGCCGTACGCGGTCTGCGACGCATCGCTAAAAACATGCAGTTCGATAGATAATGGTTGACTACCTACAGCGTGGCAAGGCACTCGCAGCGTACCGAGTGCCTGCAAAGAAACAACAAACCGGTTCCACGTCTGCGCGACGGTCGCTGGGATTGCGTCGTCCCAACCGATTTAAAAACCAAGAGGATCAAAGATTTGTGATATATTAGAAAGAATTGACCGTTTAGTGATTTGTTATCTTTTTTTAATTGAGTAGTGAAATGAAATTGATCGCAAACATTATTCCATCCTAAACCCAACGTTTTAGGATTAATACTTTGGTTTGATCTAATTTCCTTCAAATGATTCGACAAACTATCATCAAAGTCGCATGAGAAATTAAGTGTCCACTTGCGAAGTGGAAGACAACCTGCCTGAAGTGTATTTTTTATATTTTTACATAATTGTAATAAATCATTCATATCAACATGAGACAATAATAGATCGTCGACGTAAAAGTTTTCTTTAATAGCTAATTGAACCTCAGGATCCGATGATTCAATGCCTTACTGCTTTAAACACCTCACGCTGAGAAAGGTGGCAGAAGCGGTTCCGTACGTAACGGTATTTAATTGAAATTTGCCTAAAGGCTTCGATGGATCATCGCGCCACAAAATCATTTGTAATTTACGTTGGTCTTCGTCTACCAGGCAATTCCTAAACATTTTTTCAATGTCAGCGCAAGCAACGTATTTATTTTGTCTAAATCTGAGAAGAATTGATATTAAATCGTCTTGTATCGGCGAGCCGACTAATTGCAAGTCATTAAGAGACTTACCAGAGGTAGATGGCGCACTGGCATCGAAAACCACACGCAACTTAGTTGTGGAACTATGTTCCCTAAATACACCATGATGCGGCATAAAATAGCATGGATGCTCGTAAGTGGTAACTGGACTCATATGACCCAAGTCGATATAGTCCTGCATGAAACTGCAATCTAATAATTTGTAATCAGGCGAACGATGTAGACGTTTTTCTAAAGCGTAAAAACGGCGCTCGGCTTTCGTATAAGATTCGCCTAACGTATCAGGTGACTGTTTTAGTGGAATGCGAACACAAAACCTTCCTTCGCTATTGCGCTTAGTAGTACGAAGGAAGTGTTCTTCACATGCACGCTCTTCTTCAGTCCGCGTATCCCTGATCGAGGGAAGTTCCTCGAGCTACCAGAACAAGCGTAATTGTGAGTCTAAAGAAGAACTATAGTTATATTGAATGCGTTTTGAATTTCATGAATTATTAAAAATAGGGCCGGAAATAATCCACCCCAGCCTCGTATTCTGTAAGTAAGGGCCGTTAGGTAGACGCATTTTTCCTTCGTCTAACAGGTCCCAGAACGTATCTGCGCCTATTAATAAACCTATGTTTATAGAATTTAAAAACTGCGGATCTGCCAGCGTTATGTTGTCTGGAATACAGAACTACTCGCTTAATTGACATAAGGCCGGCAACGAAGACGTTATTCCTGACAAAACAATACAAGAGATGCGCGTAATGTAATTATTATCAACGCGTGATTTTATTTCAATGTTACAAGTCTCTGAACATTGTAACACTGAATCGTCTACACCTCTAACTTCAAAAGTGGACTGTATAATTGGTGCGTTAATTAATTTGCAAAACGATTTGGTTATAAAACACCGCTGGCTTCCATTGTCAAGCAGCGCGAGCGCCTGGTGATAAATACCATTACTATCGGCGACTTCGACAACAGCTGTTGACAATAGAACGGTGTGAGTGCCTATAGATTGAGCGCAATCAATTTGCATGTGTGCTTTGTTAACGTGAATCGGGAGCCGGTTTGCGGGAGCGGAGGAGGGGATGCTCGCAGGCGGCGCCGCTGCGTCTGCGCTTGTCGCGGAGCTCCCAGTCGCCGTACAAAGTGAACGAAGTGCAACCGCATTGTCTGTATTATCACTATGGATCAATGTGTTATGTTTTCGGTTACATTTCCTACACGGACCGAACCTACAACTATCGAGTGCATGTCCCGA